GAAATTTTGGAGCTGTCCCATGATTTATATGGACCCCACATAGATCTAAAATGAATATACAGAGCTGTGCTCTGTCCCACAAAGTCCATGGGACAGTTTTCCAGCCCCACCACCTGAAAAATCAATCCCTATGACGTGTTTATTCCTCCCTTGGAAAAATCCATGACTTGACCCTTCCACTTCCAGGCCTTAAACCCCAAATTCCTGTTCACTGACTGGCAAACTTTAAAGGGGCCACTTGGAAATTCCACTTCAGAATATGTGAGTAACCAACCAGACTCCTTATAGAAAAGTTTGGAAGGAGCACACTCCAAAATGTAAAGGGCTTTTTCCAACGTTGTTTCCACTCCTGCAGGGAATATATTCAAATGATCCAGAGTAAATTGATGACAGTTTTTCCCCTCATTTGATTATTCTGGGAGGGAATAAACATTTTTCACACATAATTTAGTGGCAACTATTTCTCTGGTCGTGTTAAGTTCTGTTTTCCACCTGGAAAACATTCCAACACTTTGGGATCTTAATCCCAAAGAAACCTGCTGAGGGAAGGACAAAGCCCTCCAGGGAAAAATCTCCAGGAAATCTCTTGTCCCTTGTTCAAGAAGTGATATTTTTTGGAACAAAACCAAACCTAAACCGAGGAATCCTGATGTTCATTTATCCCTAATTCAGGTAATTCCACCTGGAATTCCTTCCTCAAAGCCATCCTGGGTCTTGGGAGCTGAGTTGGAAAAACACAAGGAATATTTCTGACTGAGGAGTGTTTAGGAATCCCACACAAGGTTTGTTCTCCTCTGGAAAGGGGAAAACAGAGGGAAAAAAAAATAGGAGTGTTAAAAGGTTGGGAATTTTTAAGGAGCTCTCTCTGTTCACTCCCAGTAATCCTGGGAGTCTCTAAACCCAGATCCAGACAGCAGCCAGGGATTATCTCCTCAGGACATTCCTTAGTCCTTGAAAGAAGGATCTGGAAAAGGTGGTTTCCTTTGACAGAGCTCCTTCCTGGAAGGAAAAATCCAGGGAAGAAAAGTGGCCCTTGGAGGGAGAGGGGGGAGTTTTCTCCAAGACATCACAGAGCAAAAAACATGGAATGTCTGGAGGCTCCTGGGGAGTTCCCATGGAATGTTAGAGCAGGAAAAAGGGTTAAAGGAGAAGGGGGAATGAAAAGGGTATTTGGCAGAGGATGATTTTAAGAATTAAAGGGCAGAAGTGACCGAGAGAATTCCCATGGGAATGGGGATAAAAGCTGTGGGAATTAAAGAATGCCAGGGGATGGAGAGGGGCAGTGGGAAGTTCGAGCTGGATTCCATATCCAGGGAGGGGGTTCAGCTCACTGGGATCTGGGATGGCTGAGAATTAACTTTGAAAAGCCCTTTCTGGTCATTAAATCTCTTCAGACTGAGCTGAAAACGAGGCCCCAGCCACTTCCCAAAGAAATTCCAGCTGTTTCAAGCATTTCCCCTTTCCTTTGGCCTCTTCCAGAAGAGCCCAGGAATTGAGCAGGACACAGGTGGGAAGAGAGGGGCAGGAAAAGTGAAGGCAAAGCTTTCATTCTTAATAACAAAATAGTCCAAATATTCAACCTCCTCCACCTGGCTGAGCTGGGCTCATCCAGGACAGTTCCAAAAGCAGGAGCTGCCCCACTGTGTCCCAAAAATCCCCCCAGGATTCGCTCCCAGGAAGATTCCAAGCTGCTCTCCCTCCTCCTCAGCCACTTTTGTCCTGGAATTTCTGATTTCTTTTGGCCTTGGAAGCCCAGGAAGAGCTCACAGAATAGTTACTAGGATAACTAATTCCATTAGAATAATAATTCCAATAGAATTCTAATTCTAATCCCATGAAAATAATACCTCTATTAGAATAATAATTCTAATTATTCATCTATCAGAATAATAATTCTAATTATTTCTCTATTAGAATTCTAATGATTATCTATCAGAATAATAATTTTAATTATTTTCTATTAGAATTCTAATTATTGTCTATTAGAATAATAATTCTAATTATTTCTCTATTAGAATTCTAATGATTATCTATCAGAATAATAATTCTAATTATTTCTCTATCAGAATTCTAATTATTATCTATCAGAAAAATAATTCTAATTATTCATCTATTAGAATTCTAATTATTATCTATCAGAAAAATAATTCTAATTATTCATCTATTAGAATTCTAATTATTATCTATCAGAATAATAATTCTAATAGAATAGAATAATTCTAATTCTCTTACAATAACTAACAGAATTAGTTATTAGAATAACTAATAAGCTTCCAAAACCATGGAAGTTCCCACATTCCAAGGCATTTCCAGGGGCAAAACACCCAGAGGGGAGAACCTGGCTGAGAATTACACTGATAACGTGGAATAATGTATTTATTATCATTTAATCAAGAAATATTTGGCCAATTTACTGCATGTGAGGTCACCTTTTGCCATCAGTTCCCCCCCCAAAATTCCCTTAAATTCCACCAGCAGGAAAACACAGGTGGAAGAGGCAAGTTCAGGGATGAAAGACCTTCTGGCTGATAATAAATTTGATATTTATTTCATAATAAATAAAATAACTATAATATATTTATTAATTAATATAATATTTCTAGAATAAATATAATAAAATGAGCCTTTTTAGAAAGCCAGGGAGCAGCAACTCCATCACCTGATCTGTCCAGAGCTTGTTTTTTAATTTCTATCCCATGGTTTGGATAAAATCATGGAAAGCTGCCCCATTTCCTGAGAGCAGAAGGCCCAGGGTGGGGAATTCCTTCCACTGGCTGGGCTCAACTTTCCTGGAAAACATTCCCCAAAGTCTGCCCAGCATGGAAAGCAATCTATTCTCCCTGGGAATTGGGAATTTGGAGAGACAAACAGTTTTTTAGGGCTTTCCTTCTCTCAACTCTCATCTTAACTTCTTTTTGACCTAAAATATTAGAAAAACTAAAATTTCTGCCTAACTTTCATTCCATTTCCTAGATTTTATATTTACTCCAGCCCTAGATGCCCTAAAAACAAAGCTCTTCATTGTTATTTGATGATTATTTAAATAGGAAATGAAGAAAGAGCCTCTTCTCTGAGTATTTCCATCACCTGTAAAAAAAGCCCGTTCTTTTCTTGGAAGTCACAACACCACAAAGAGGAATTTATTTTTCCACAGGGGGGTTGGGAAATACGTACAAGTTCCTTAAAACTTGTCTGGCTGGTTCCCAAAATGCCCCAAGGTCTCAGTTCAACCCAACTTAGTCCCTGCTCAAAGCTCTGCTCCCCCCTGGCTGAGCCAGGACTTAACTCAGCCTTCCGTGGAGTCCCAGGATTTTCATCTCCTCCTGTTCCATTCCAGAAATTAAGGGAATTTCATTTGCTTTAATCTGCAGGTGGTGAAGCTCCCTGGGATGTTTTCCATGTTATTTATCCTCTGTGGAATTCGACAGGAAAAAGGTTGGGCTGTGGCTGCCCCTGGAGCCCTGGAAGTGTCCAAGGCCAGGCTGGATAAACTTGGAGCACCCTGGGCTGGTGGAAGGTGTCTGGATGGGATTTAAGGTCCCTGCCAACCCAAACCATCCTGGGATTCTGTGACACCTGAGAAATTCCACCCCCGTGTAACATCCCGCTCAGATCCATCCTCCAACCTTCACTTGGAATTAGGAATCATTTGGTAGCACTGGAAACTATTTTGATTGCAGAATGATGGAATGAATCATGGAAGCCTGGAATGGTTTGGGAAGGAAGGGACCTTAAAGAACAGCTCATTCCAACTCCCTGCCATGGGCAGGGACACTATTATTATTATTATTTTTATTTTGATCTTTAGCTGCCATTTCTGAGAAGCAAAAAAAACAGGATTTGTCCCCAAAGCATTTTTTTGTACATTTTTATAGTGGTTTTTCCCCCTCTGACAGGTACAAGAACTGTCACACAGCAAAGGTATGGCCATAACCCCGAGGAAGGAGAATGAAAAATCCTTCTAAAATTAACAATTTACTCCCTTGATTATGGCAAAACTGCTCCTTGAGGGAGTGCAAAGAAAAAGAGATGGAAAAATCCCGTGTTTGGGGTTTTTTTCTAATGCCAACACTTATTTAATTCAAATATTACAGCTATTTGGAGCAGCAGTTACGTGCCCATCCTCTGACACACCCCCTGTGACTCAGGGAAAAATAAAAGTGCAGGAAATTCAAAATGAGACTCCCAACACAGGAGTTCAGAAAACCACAGGAGCTGCTCGGAATCAGGCTGGGATTTTGGGAATTTTAAGGAATGAAATTTTCCCACTGAAGTCACGGAAGAGAAGTTGCAAAATACCTTCTCTAAGAATGTTCCAAGAGGGGAGCAAAAAAAAAAAAAGGCAATTTAATATAATATTAAGTTATTGGACCTCTAAGAACATATTAAAAGCACCCAGAAATTTCAGAAGTGTTTAAAAATATACTAATAAAGAGCATAAAATGTGTTGGAAGGGACCTCAAAGATCATCTCATTCCAACCCCCTTCCTCTAGAACAAGTTGCTCCAACCTGGCCTTGATAAGGTAATAAAATGTAATAAAAGGAGCCACAGAAAAGTCTGGATTTTACCCTGAATCCCCTGAATTTTTGGTAAGGTTAATGCCTCATATATTGTAATTTTCTCAGACATTCAGTGACACATCAGCATCACACTGAAAGCTTTTAAGGTCTTTAACAACAAAGCTTCGAGGCTGCATTTAATTTCTTTGATTTTATGGTTTTGATTGAAGGGAAGAAAACAAACCAAAAAAAGACCAGCATTAGAAAATAACTCCTGAAAACATTTTAACTTCCTGAACATTCAAGGCAGTGATTTTTGGTTTAGGAACTCCCACTTGCTGAAGTGGAAGTTTTGCACCACGTTTTAAGTTCTGCTACAGGAATTTTTGGGTTTCCCTATTTTTTTTTTTCAGCAGGGGAGATGAAAACATTCACTGCAGCCCAGCAGATGAAAATGGAATTTTACTTTGGAAGGAAGGAAAACACAACTGAACTGCATCCCAAGCGGTTAATTAAGGAACAATCTCTCCTGAACCATCTCCTGAAGAATTCCTGCACTTCCTCTGCTCTGGGTGAGGTTCCTAAAAGCAGATTTCTATTGGGATATAACAAAAAAAAAGCTTTTTAAATGTGCTCAAAGTCAATATACACCTTACATATATTATATACCTTCTCCTCCCTTCCCTTCCCCATGGAAAAATCCCCAAATCCTGATGGGAAAAGCTTTATTCCTGCCTTACTGATGGGCTCTCTTTAGTGTGTTTGATGTGCTGTGATGAGGAGTGAACACACACTCATTGTTTTTAATAGAACCCTGATGATTTAACCTGCTCTGATCCGATTATTCCTTGGATTACACAACCCCAGGCTGGAGTTATTCAGACTTTCCACTGCCTGCACCAGCAGCTGTTTCCCTGGCACCTGGAGCTGAGGAAAATCCAAGCCCTTAATCAGAGTTTCCATGAGCCAAGAGATGCCTGCAATGGGCTGGACAGGATGTGCCCAAGTGGGCAGAGACAGGAACTCCATGAAAAATAAACCCCATCCTGCAAAGGGCTGTCCACACCCCTCAGGAGCTGGGAGAACATCCCGCCAGGAGGTAGGAGAACACTCTCAGGAACTGGGAGAACAACCCTTAGGAACTGGGAGAACAACCCTCAGGAGGTGGGAGAAAACATTCCCTCAGGAGCTGGGAGAACACCCTTCAGGAATTGGGAAAACAGCCCTCAGGAATTGGGAAAACAGCCCTCAGTAGCTGGGAAAACAGCCCTCAGGAGGTGGGAGAATGTCCCCTCAGGAGGTGGGAGAATGTCCCCTCAGGAGGTGGGAGAATGTCCCCTCAGGATCTGGGAGAACACCCCTCAGGAACTGGGAGAAAACATTCTTTCAGGAATTGGGAGAACATCCCTCAGAAAACAGGAGAACACTCCACAGGAATTGGGAGAACACCCTTCAGGAACTGGGAGAACATCCCCTCAGGAATTGGGAGAACATCCCCTCAGGAATTGGGGGAACATCCCCTCAGGAATTGGGAGAAAACATCCCCTCAGGAATTGGGAGAACATCCCCTCGGGAATTGGGAGAACATCCCCTCGGGAACTGGGAGAACACCCCTCAGGAATTGGGAGAAAACATCCCCTCAGGAATTGGGAGAACACCCCTCAGGAATTGGGAGAAAACATCCCCTCGGGAATTGGGAGAACACATCCCCTCGGGAATTGGGAGAACACATCCCCTCGGGAATTGGGAGAACATCCCCTCGGGAATTGGGAGAACATCCCCTCGGGAATTGGGAGAGAACATCCCCTCAGGAATTGGGAGAGAACATCCCCTCAGGAATTGGGAGAGAACATCCCCTCAGGAATTGGGAGAGAACATCCCCTCAGGAATTGGGAGAAAACATCCCCTCAGGAATTGGGAGAACACATCCCCTCAGGAATTGGGAGAACACATCCCCTCAGGAATTGGGAGAACACATCCCCTCAGGAATTGGGAGAACACATCCCCTCAGGAACTGGGAGAACACCCCTCAGGAATTGGGAAAACACCCCCCAGGAGTTCCCACCGATTCCCTCTTTCTCACACCAATTCCCTCTCCAAGTTCTCGTGGGCACCAGAAAATCTGCGCCTATTTAACATCCCAACCTGCCAGAAATGTGCATTTTAATTCCCGTCTTCTTTGGCCTGTTATTTCCTGTCATCCTCCTCCCTGAACTGGAATATTACAACAAATATTCCCAGGACTAAAAACTAACCCGAGCTTTCCACGGTAATGGAAATATTCCTACTGCCACCAGCTCTGAGGAATTATCACAGTCCAGACAAAACCAATAATAATAATTATCAAACTCTATAAAAAAATATCAGAGATGGCCTTAATGTATTTAATAATATTATCGATATTTTTGGGGTTACCAGAAGGGAGGGGTTATTTTAACTACAAACCCACACAAGTGTTTTATTTAACTACAGGGATTCTTCACCTAAAAAAAAAATGGAAATAGGGAAAAAACCCGATTTATTTTAACAATCCAGCTTTTATCTCCTGGCACTTCACCAGCTTTCTATTTCTACAGAGAAAGGAAGCAGCAACTCTAGGAAAAAAAAATAAAATAAAAAGAAACAGTTCTTGCCTTTCAGCCAGTTTTTACTTGGAAAACATCCTGATTTTTAAGAGGTCTTTATAAAGAGATTTATTTCGAAACCAGACCTTCACAGAAGTTTCCAGAATGACCAATAAAATAAAATAAAGTGATTTTTTTTGCTTTACCTGCCTGTATCTAAAAGTCAAAGCCTGATTATTTTTTTTAATTAAGCATCCTGAGGTGATTTTTTTCCAATATCAACGAATCCATCTATCAAACAACCTCAAAAAGCAAACCCACCTCAAATCCAACTCGTGAACCACCTGAAAATCGGCAAAGGGAAGAAGAAGATTCATCCCTGATTAATTTTAATAAATCAAATTAACTGAGTATTGACAGCTCTGCTTTATGAGTGGGGCCAGTAATAAATAATGACTCACTAATTAATTAAAAACAAGTCATTCTGGCTTATCTTGGGCAGTAAAAAGTGCTGGGAGGAAGAAATAAAAGCTATAAATCAGGCAATTAAACCTCCCAGAAAAGCTCTGCCCGAAATCCCTGTGCTTTTAAAATGTATTCCAAGTTATCATATAATTTATATTTATTATATACCTTGTGCACATATATATTACATGTATTATATACCAGACACCACTCACAAATCAGTTCCACTTCCATTCTTAATATTAATATTCCCAACTTTTTCATATCTGAAAATATATTTTAATATATTATTAATATATTTATATATTATACTATATATAGATATATTATATTATTAAATATATTATATATAAGTATATAATATATATTGTACATTATATATAAATATATAGTATATATTTAATAATATAATATATTTATATATAATATATAATATATGTAATATATTTATGTAATATATAATATATATTTACATATTATATATTATATATATAAATATATTATAATATAAATAATTATATATAACATTATATATAAATATATATTATATATTATATAATATATTATATAAAAATATATAATATATATTATATATTATATATAAATATATTATATTATTAAATATATTATATATTATATTATTAAATATATATTTATATATAAATAAATATATCGTATATTGATATATTAATATATTAATATATTTTAAAATATGTGAAAATATCACTATGACTCAATATTAATATACTCCAATATTAATATAATGCATGATATGAAATATTATATCTATTAAAATATATATTGCTTTAATTTTTTAATGGTTTGACTGTTCAAAATAAACCCAGACTATTGGGATGTGACTGAACCAACAGTCTTAACCCTGGGCTTTTTTTTAGAAAGCAGCAGCGTTGAAACAACTCGAAACACTGTCAAAATATATTGATTTTTTTTGGCAGAGGAAGAATGAAACCCTTCAAAATATCAGGAGAAAGGCCCAGAGGCCAAGAAGTCAGTTTTGCACCCCCTCAGGGAAGGTTTTGGCCCAGGCAGAGCTGTAAAAATATTCCTCTTTTTCTGAAATCCCTTCCTTTGAATGGGATCAAGGAGGGTTTGAAGGAGCTCTGGGGAAAAGGATTAAGGAGCCCACGTGACGGGGCCAGGAAGGGATCCCCAAAAACTGAGGGTTGGCTGAGAAAAGAAAGCTTTGGCACAAACTCCTGGGAAATGTCACCAGCTTCCGGGCAGCAGAATTAATTCCAGGAATTCCTGAAGGATTTCAAAAAAAACCAAACCAAAATCCGTCTCGCGATGATTTCAGTGGGTTGTAAAGCCATTCAAAAGGTCTAAAAACGGGGCTCATTTAACAGCTTTACTTTTAGGGCAGTTCCCAACAAGGTTTTGCTGCACAAAGCTGAAGGAAAAACAAGATTCTGAAGGTGGAATTAGGATATTATAAATATAATTAATATAATTATAAATATAATTAAAATAGATAAATATATCTTATAATATAAAATATATTATATATATAATATATTGTATATAATAAATATAATATATAATAAATATAATATATATTATATATAATAAATATATATAATAAATATAATATAGAATATATAACATATAATAAATATAATATATAATATATAATATATGATATATGATATATAATATATAATATATAATATATATTTCTCTTGAGATTATCATATTGATAAAAATATTCTGTTATATTTATTACAGTTCTAAAATATATATTATACCATATATTATATTTCTACTGAAATTATATTTATAAAAATATCAGGTGAAATTGTTATATTATAGTGATATAGTTCATATTATAGTAATATAGTTCTATATAGTTATATTATAAATTTATTAGAGAATGAATTATATTTGCATTGAGATCATTATATTTATGAAAATATTATATTGTTACATTATAGTTATAAAATTATATTATTAGGTAATGAATTCTATTTATATTGAGATCATATTTATTAAGATATTAAATTGTTACATTATAGTTGTAAAATTATGTTATTAGATCATGCATTCTATTTATATTGAGATCATATTTATTACAATATTATATTAAATTGTTACATTACAGTTGTAAAATTATATTATTAGATAATGAATTATATTTACACTGAGATCATTACATTAAACTATTACATGAAATGGTTATATTGTAGTTATACAATTATATTATTATATAATAATATTAATAGTGAAATAATGATATTTATTAAAACGTTACACTAAAATATCACATTAAATAGTTGTGTTATGCTATAAAATTGCATTATTGTATAATAAATTATCTTATAACACAGGATGACCAGGATTCAACCCACCTGAGCCCTGCTTTTCCTGGTTCTACAACTCCCGGGCTTTCTGACCTTCTTTAGGCTTTAGCTTCAAGCACAAATGGAACATTTCTTTTATTTGTTCCAATAAATAATCCCAGTTCCTCTGTTCCCCTGGGGTTATGTGAGGACAGCCTGCAGGAAACTGCCTCACTCCAGCTTCCAACAGGCCACATTTATTTCATTAGCCACCTTTCCAGAGAAGTATTCCCGGAGAAAACCCGTTACTGTGACAGAAAAGCCCCTTTTCAAGTTATCCATAAATGCAGGTTTTTGTTAATTATGGCAAACCTGCTGCTGCTTTCACTGATTCGCAGGAACTCAGCAAAAAAAAGAGCAGAATTCATGGAATTATTAAGGCTGGAAAAAGACTTTCAAACCCCCCCGAACCAGCCCTAAACCACGGCCCTGGCGTGGTTTGAGAGCCCCAAAAATCCAATTTCCAAGTCCAAGCCCCAGTCCCACATCCAGCCAATTCCCGAGCAATTCCAGAGGCTGGGACTCCCCCACCTCCAATGCTCAGCCCAGGGGTGTCTGAAAGGAATTTAAGGAGCAGCAGCAGCAAAAAAATCCTTCAATTCTTTTCTCAGCAGCCCCGGGGGAAATTTCCTTTCCAAGGAACTCCGTGGGTGTCCCTCTGGCACTTCCCAAATTCCCCAAGGAGCCTGGAATTCGGCCGGGATTAGCTGGCAGAGCAGAGCTGGGGCACCTACTGAGGCAGGGACTAAGAGGGCACAGAGGAAGGTTTTTTAGCCCTCCTGTGGCTGGACCCAGAACTTCTCCAGCCAGCAGGAATTCACATCCCTCTGGAATTCCAGAATCCAAGGAAGTTTATTTATTGCCCTTTGACAGCACAAGTTCTAGACAAAAAAACCCACCCTGAGTGTCTCCACTGAGAGAGAAAAGCTCTGGAAAAAATGGAATTACCAGCTGGGGAGGATGGGGAGATATAAAAGCAGAATTGCTGGCTTTAATAATTAGATGATTATTATAATTTATTTATTTTTTTTTAATAAATGAGCACACAGGACCAGTTCTAAGAGATAAAAGTCGTCTGGGGTTACAATCCCTCAAGTGCAAAAATCAACAAGCAAAACTACCAAAAAGCTGCAGGTCAGAAAACAGAAACAGAAAATGGTTCAGCAAGTCAAAAATGGCATTTTTGCATTTTTCCAAGGTCGTTTGCCAACCTAGAGATAAAAAAAAAAATCTTCATTTCTTGTGCTTAAGAATAAAACAAAAGACAGAGAATTGAAAGTATTCCTAAATTGTGCTTTAGAAAAACTTGGGAGTATTTAAGGGTTCTCTGGAAGATTTAGGGGCTGATATTAAAAAAATCAATTAGGAGGTATTTTTATTTCTTATGAGAATAAAGCAAATAACAAACTGTCATTTATTAGAATTTCCCTCAATAAGAGGGTCTGTTTTTTAAGAGATTGGTCACAAATCAAATAAAAATTCAGATTTCTCAACTGGGACCTCGACAGCCTGATAAAAAAAATTTAAAACAAAATCAAAAAAAGGGGAGAAATAACAAATTCAAGCAGCATTTCAAGCACAGAGCAGTGTTTGGGGAGGGTTAAAATAGAAATAGCTGTCCTGTCTCACCTTTGATTGGATCAACCCTCCCCAAATAGGGCAATCCAGGATTATTAAGGGGCCTTCTGAAGGGAAAAAGGACCATTAATTACACAGAGAAGGTATTTTAGGAGGGTTACACGTGCTGGGAAAAGCACCAAACCACACCCAAATTCACAGGATATTTAGAAAACAGCGTCTGGGGTGTGTTTTACAACCCCTTTCCTCCTCCCTCCAACACCACAAAGCTCCACACAACTGTTTGCTGGGGTAAATTGAATTTTCTGTTCACACCCTACAGCAAAGCGAGTTTTCTTTAAATTAAGCCCCTAACCAGGTGTTAAATTTAAATTATTTAAAATTATTATCTGGGACTCATTTTAGTGTGGTCAGCATCACTTTACACCCCTGAGTGACAAAATATCTTCATTTTCTGAGACACCAGAGCCAGGAAATGCTGTGGGGAAAACTGGGTACACCATGGAAGAATATGGGGTTTTCCTCACTTTTAATATAACCTTTTTATATTTAAATATGTAAATAAATAAAATATATATGTATATAAAAATAAAAGCACCACCTAAAATGCTGAAGGCACCTTTCCCACCCCCAAAATCTGAGATGCAGCCTCGGTTCCACCTTCTCTCTCTCTTTGCAACTCCCTGACATTTGGCCCAAAGAACAAATTCCACCCAAATCCAGTCCGTGAATGGGTTTCCCTACACAGCATTCACATATTTCCAGCTTTATTTCCCACTAACTGCAGCTAAATTCTGTATTTCAGTGGTTAAAAGTTCAGTTCCCTGACACTTGAGCTCATTTTTCTACCTGTTAAATGTCTGTGCACAACCAGCACCTTTTAAACCACCGGGTCCCCAGTCCCTCAACTCTTCTCTTCCTTTATTTTGCATTATTTATAAAACTCTGAGGCTTTTCTTCCCTCTTGGACACACCCATTTATTCAAGTTCAAGCAAATTCTTCCATCCTTTGCCTCAGAAATGTGATTTATGCAGGAACTGTACAAGTTGTCATCCATGGGGAAGAGAACACAGTTTATGCTGAGATGATGAACATCTAATTAATGATGAACATCTAATTAATGTGTTATTATTTTAAGGAATCTGCACCCCTTCCTGCTGCAGCTCTTAGGAAGGGGGGGAAAAAAGACTTTAAAACAATTTTTTATTGTAGTTTTAAGGATACCCAAGACTTTGTCCTCGTCTAAATTAAATTACTGGAGACGGAGATGAATTGGAATAATAAAAAGAAAGGCTGAAAAATGGTTTAAGTGTTCAGAGACCCATCCCTGGGAGTGTCCAAGGCCAGTTTGGATGGAACTTGGAGCAACCTGGGATACTGGAAGGTGTCCCTGCCCGTGGATCTTTAAGGTCCCTTCCGCCCCAAACCAGTCTGGAATTCTATGATAACACCAAAAGATAAAATATATTGGCATTAAAAATTCCATAACCTTAGAAACTGCAATATAATGTAGCCGCAGCTCCTATTTTTAATACATTTACACTGTCAGAGGGTTGAGTATTCCACGAAGACACGGGCAATTATTTTAAGGGATTTAAAACCAGCACCATTACTGCCTGATTTTTCAAGTCCATTCCCTTGAATTCCCACCCGTTTAAAAAAAGCTTAAGCATCTCCCTCAGCATGAAAGACACCTGGAAAGAAGAGCCTGATAGGAAAACCAACCATGAAAACATATTAAAAAAAAGTGCTTTTGGGTGCCCCAACCAAAACCTCGACCACAACCAAAACCTCGACCACAACCAAAACCTCGACCACAAAGGCACAGGGTGGCCCAGGGCCAATTTTTTTTCCCATTCCGGTCTCTGCAGAGCTTCTCCCTGAGCTAAGGGTTGGGGAATTAAAGGAATTAAGTGGGGACGGTTGTTGGTGTTGAATCACGGAGGCTGGAGAAGAGCTCCGGGATGTGCCCATGTGCCCGATCCCAGCCCAGGGCACCGAGCGCCGCGTCCCGGCGTTCCCCGGACACCCCCAGGGATGGCCACTCCAAACCTCCCTGGGCAGTTCTAATGTTTAACAACCTTTTCCACGAAGGAATTCCTCCTCCTGTCCAAGCTGAGCCTCCCCTGGCACAGCCGGAGGCCGTTCCCTCTCCTCGTGTCCCTTGTTCCCTGGGAGCAGAGCCCGACCCCCCCCGGCTCCCCGCTCCTGTCAGGGAGTTGTGGAGCGGGATCGGCTCGTTCCCGACACCCGACGGCATTCCAGGCGCGGATCCCGGGCAGGGCAGGGCGCTGTCTCGCCGCCCTTTCCCCTCCGAGCCCCGCCGAGGTCGGCGGCGGCCCCTCACCCGCTGCCCCCCGGCCCCGCTCACCCGGCACGGCCCGTCCTGGAACACGCGCGGGTCCAGGTTGCAGGCGATGGTGGCGGTGGGCAGGTCCCGCAGCGCCACCGCCTCCATCTCGCCGTCAACGAAGCTCCACTCCGCGTCCGTCTCCTCCTCCTCCTCTTCCTCTCCTTCCTCCTCCTCCCCTTCCCCGGGCGGCGGCGGCAGCTCCCGGAGCGGCGGCTCCTCCATGGCCGGGGCCGCGCGGAGGCGGCTGAGCGGACGTTGCCGAGGCGGCTTCACCCGCCCCTCCGGCCGCCATTTTGTTTCCTTCACCCCCGCGCCGTCTGAGCCAATAGAAAGCCGCCGCCGCCGCCCCCCCACCCCGTGTCAGCCAATAGGAAGCGGCGGCCGCCGTGGCAACAGGTGTTCGGTGAGGCGCCTTCCGCCATCTTGAGTGAGGGCAACGGGTGTGAGGGAGAGCAACAGACGGTATATATAATATACTATATATGTGAAATATGCCATAAATACTATATATACTGTAGAGATAGCATATAAAATTGTCGTGGCTTCGCCCCAACTGGCAACCGAGCAACATACTATATATATATACATGTATATATGTGTGTATATATTTGTATGTATATATGTTACATATATGTATATATCTATATATCTATATATATGTATATATGTATACATATCTATGTATCTATAGATGATAAATATGAGTGTATATGTAGACTGTGTTATATATATGTATATATGTATACCTTATATATATATACACTATATACACTATATATACACTATATACATATATAGTGTGTATATGGCATATACATAGTGTATATATACAGTATACATATACTATATATAAAATTATGGTATATATGATATACTGTCTGTGCAGTATATATAATATAAATACTACATATTATAGTGTAAATATACAGTATGTATATATATACACATTATATATAATATAATATATATTATATATATAATATAATACATATTATATAATACATATTATATATATAATATAATACATATTAAATCTATATTAAAACATACTATATATTAAAATATACTATATATAAATATATCGTTATTTAAAACCACTATATATTATTATAATATATTAGTATGTATTATATATTATTATTATATCTTATATATTATTATGGTGTTCTACAAATGGATCACTGAACAGGCCAACAAAAGGAAACTTGGAATTTAAAAAAGGCCATAATGTTGTTTGTACAGTTGTGTCTCCTCCTGCTGGTGATTATTTTATCCTTAGAGGAGATATTTTTTTACTATATTCCTTCTTAGGTCAATAAAGCCATAAAGGCCAATTGCAAATATATATATATATATATATATGTGTGTGTGTATACATACATACATATATATATATATATACATATATATGTATATAAATATAAATATATATGTATATAAATATATATATATATAAATATATATATATATCTGCAGCACCTCCTTCCAGGGGAAGGCCCAAAAATGAGCTTCAGAGGTCACAGGGTTCTTTTAAATTAAATTTATTTACCTTAAACCTGCCCTCCTTCGGCTTAAAACCATTACCCTTGTCCCGTCACTCTCTACCTGTATAAATAATTAGCTTAATTTAATAGTTATTCTAGATCACAGCTTTTAACTGTAATTTTTTTGTGGAGAAAATGTGTCAGTGCACGCTTGGAAAACATTATTGTGCCAAATCTGGGACTGGATTTCGTATCCAGGCTATAAAAATACTGGGATATGTCACTTCTGCTGGCACAGCAAATATTTTCAATTATATTCAAAGTAAAATACTCCTACAGATCTGGGTTTATTTCCAAAACACGGCATTAAATTGGGGTGAAAAAAGCTAATTTTCACGGTTGCAAACCACTGCACCAGCTCTGGGCAAAGTCAACAGCAGAAACTCCTGGGGATAAACTTCGAAATTATCACTTCTCACCTTTTTTTTTTCTGACAGATCAAAGGCTTTAAACTGCTGAATTACGATCTCAGCCAACACACAGAGGAGGAGGAAAAAATTGCCACCTTCCTCCTCTTCATTTGCAGGTTTTTTTGGCTCTCTAATCTGTTTTAAGTCTTTTTTTGGGGGAGAGAGAAGCTAAATACAGGATATTTTTGTGCTCACTTGTGACATAAATCCGTGTGTTTTCGATCCCATTTTCACTAAAGTTCGGACAAGTGGTGCCTTTAAAAGGAAAATCGAAATATATGCAAGTGTTTCATGCGAAATCCAGCCAAAATAATGCCATTTTTAACCCTGTTCTTTGATGTCAAAGGCGTTTCCCGGGTGGATTTTCCAGCCCCTGTGGAAATTCCACCTGAGGAAATGGAGCTCTAATGGGACACATATTTAGAAAAAGCCAAGAAGCAAAACCTGCCACCGATAAATTCCTGGAACTGCAGCCTGGAATCTTCCTGTTGGGAAAACCGTGGCCAAATATTTATTTCCCCTCGGCTGGTTATTGCAATTCAGGTGTCACATTTGTGGGTGCAGTAAGCTATTAATTATATTTAATGTAATTAAATAGTTTAATATTTAATTTACTATAATTCAATATAATTTAATATTAAATGTGTTTAATATTTAATTAAATATTTATATTTATATTGTATATTATAATATATAACATTATATATTCTATATTATATATAATATATTAAATATAAAAGATATATAATATATATAATATAGAATATAATATTATATATATTCTATATTATATATACACTATTTTATATAAAAAAATATATAATATATAATATAACATTATATATATTATATATTATATATAAAATATATATAATATATATTCTATATTATATATATTCTATACTATATATAAAATATATATAATATATAATATAATATTATATATATTCTACGTTATATATAATATTTAATATAATATTATATATACTATATT